CTTCTCTCGCACACAAGCCTTCCACCCCCCCACTGATTAATATTCTTTTGAAGGCAAAGAATTGGGCTTTTCAACGTGGGACGGAGGTCAGGGCTCCCAGCAAGACGTCGGGGAGCCTGACAAGGGACGGCCACCTCGCTCTCCTCCGGCGAAGGAGGACTTCCCTCTTCTCCGACTGCCCGCTCTGCCCCTTCCTTTTTCCTTCTCACGGACCCCCGTCCTTCTGGCTGGGAACCTTGGGAACTGGAGTCCAACCTTGTGGGCGGGGGGTGGGTGGGTGGGCAGCGTTGGGTAGGCAAGCTCATTTCTAGCTGCTGGGTTCCAGCCAGGGTTAAGGACAGCCGGCCTGGGAGAATCCGTGGAAGCACCTGCAGGCCAGCTGAGCGCCCAATGGAAGGACGAAGGATGTCCCGATTTCTGTCTTGGCCACCACCTGGAAGAGAGGTGCCTGCTGCTTTTTTGGTGCCATGTTGCAACTCTTTTGAACCTTTGCACCCTTTCCCTCCTTTTTTTTAAAATCAGAGTTGGAAGGTCATCTAGTCTAACCCCAAGCAGGAGACCCTACCCCATTTTTGACAGATGGCAGCCCAGCCTCTTCTTGAAAGTCTCCAGTGATGGGGCTCCCACAGCTTCTGAAGGCAACTTTTTTTCCACGGGTTGATTGTCCTCACTGTCAGGAAATTCCTCCTTATTTCCAGGTTGAATCCCTCCTTGATCCATTTCCATCCATTATTCCTTGTCTGACCTTTGGGTGCTTTGAAAAATAGCTTGGCCCCCTCCTCCTCCTCTCTGTGGCAGCCCCTCAAATATTGGAAGATGCTCTCCTGTCTCCCCTGGTCCTTCTCTTCCCTAGACTAGCCAGGCCCAGTTCCTGCAACCGTTCTTTGTATGTTTTAGCACCATCCTGGTTGCTCTTCTCTGCACTTTTTCTAGAGTCTCAACCTCTTTTTTATAGTGTGGTGGTGACCAAAACTGGATGCAGGACTCTAGGTGTGGCCTTACTAAGGCTTTACAGAGTGGTATTAGTACTTCCCTTGATCTTGACTGTATCCCTCTGTTAATACAACTTAGGATTGCATTGGCTTTTTTGGCTGCTGCTGCAGCACATGGCTGGCTCCTATTTATCTGGTTGTCCACTCAGACTCCAAGATCCCTCTCAGAGTTACTGCTATTAAGCCAGGTTTCACCCACTCCTTTCTGTCCCCCAGGCTTTTCGGGCACTCACTGCGAGACAGACATCAACGATTGTGACCCTGATCCTTGCCACTATGGCACATGCCAAGATGGTATTGCCACCTACAACTGCCTCTGCCAGCCTGGGTACACCGGGCGCCTCTGCGACACTAACATCAACGAGTGCCAAAGCCAACCTTGCAAGAATGGGGGCACCTGCCAGGACAGGAACAACGCCTACACCTGCGTCTGCCTCCGAGGCACTACAGGTAAGGTTCCCCTCTCCGGCCTTTCCACAGAAGGATGGATCAGAGCCATCTTGGTCAACGGTCTGGGATGCCCCATATATTTCCTAACAAACAAAATGTATAACAAAATAAAAGGGTTGGAAGGGTCATCTAGTCCAACCCCCTGCTCAAGCAGGAGCATCTCTACTATTCCAGACAAGTGGTTGTCCAGTTTCTTCTTAAAAAGCATCCAGTGATGGAGCAACCACAAGTCCTGAAGGCAAGACGTTCCAGATAAACAGATAATCAGAGTTGGAAGGGGCCTTGTAGGTCATCTAGTCCAACCCTCCCCCGCCCAAGCGGGAGACCCTACACCATTTCAGACAAATGGCACTCCAGTCTCTTCTTGATGATGCTTGACGTAGAAGGACGAGTGATTTCAGGTCAAAGAAAGAAGCCCTGGGGATGTTTGGGCCTTCCCCAACCTCTGGTAGTCCTTGTTTTACAACCGGTTCTTTAGGGATTGTTATGACAGATCCCGCCCCCTCCCCCTTCAAAAAGTACTGATGACCTGATTCCAAAGCCCTCCCCGTTTACAAAACACTTGGCAACCAGTTCAGATTCCTGGGTTTTTGCAAACTTCCCCCAGTCACCCGACAGGAATTGAGGACATTCTGACAGCCTTTTTGTGACTCAGGAAAGAGGCGGATTCCTTCGCTGATACAACTTTCATGTATCGCCCTCCAGAATTTGAACCCAGGTTTTGCAAGAATGTGGTTTCCTTTATCGCCAGCAGGACTCTGGGGAAACACCCCCAAATAAAACTTGGCCTGCCAAGGCAAATTCTGGGTCTTACCCCAATTGCCGGTCGTTGCATAGTATTTTAATTTTGCAACCTCCTGGGTGGGTGAAGGTTTCGCTGGTCATTAGGGGCAGCAGGAAGGAAAGTCCCGTTGCTCCACGTATCGAAGGCTGGCTTCCCTCTTTGTTTCTCTCTCATGGCAGTGAGTTTTCTTTCGACTTTGTAAGGTTTTTGGCCTGCACAACTCCATCCCTGCATCTCAGCCAGAAAAAAGAAAAAAACTTCCTTAAAACAACCCTGAGATTTTTTCTCAGAGCGCCACTGAATATCAGTCCCTGGGAAGAAAGGGGGCGTTATGGTTTGGGGGGGGGGGGGGTAACACTGAAATTGGAGCCCCTGGAAAGGATCCCAAATGCCTTTGCCCTGCCCTGGATTCCAACCTCCGCACCGCTTCCCTGACCGCTCTAATTCCTTTTTCGAAGGGCCCAATTGTGAGATCAACCAGGACGATTGTGCCAGCAACCCGTGTGATTATGGCAAGTGCGTGGACAAGATCAACGGCTACGAGTGCGCCTGTGAACCGGGATACACAGGTGAGAGAGCACAGCCCCTCCCTCCCCCTGGTGGGCTTCATGGCCAGGGGTGGGCTTCTACCCGTTCGGACCAGTTCTATAGAACCGGTTGTTACGATTCTGCGCCGTTCGGAGAACCGGCAAATCGCACCCCTGGCTGGGCCCTCCCCTCCCCCCCTCCCCCCCCCACCCAGGAGGCTTCCCTGAGGCCCACTCAAAGGTGGTCTTCAGGGGGTCGGGGGAGGGAGACGTGGCCTGAGAGCCGAGCTGAACCTTCCTTAGGATGGAAGCTTCTATTTTTTCAGTGCAGACTCAGGCAGCAGATGGCAGAAAGGTAGATCTCTGAGTGAATCTGTGATTCTGTGAGCAACTCAATCTGCCTGCCTGTTTTGCCTGATTTGGGGTAAAAAATTCAATCTTTACATATATATTTACAATATTTACATACAAGCCACGCCCAGCCAGTCACATGACCACCAAACCACACCCACAAATTAGGCCATGCCCACAGAACCGGTTGTTAAGAAATTTGAATCCCACCCCTTTTAGTGGCCCCCGAGTATGCTGACCCAAACCTGGTTCCAAGGGAGCAAACACGAGACAAAGGTAACAGCACAACCTTTTCATGTTTCATTTACGAATCCGGTTCCTTCCCAGATAAAAGGCTACTTCCAACTAATTAGCTCCGATAAGAAAGAGCCTTGCCAAGTTTTTGCAAGGCTGCCAAGAACACCAGATAAAGTTACTAAACAGTAAATCAAAGAGTCTCCAAACACCAACTCAAGATATTCTAACGTCCACCAGGGTCAAGTATCAAACTTCTTTGCCTCCCGCAAAGAACTGCAGTTTCTCAGCTGGCTTTTATCTTCTCAGGGAGGGGCCGTTACCTTGCAGCCTTACTCCCGAGTCGCCCGTGCTGCTGCAGCTGCTCTTTCCTTCGAGCAGCCCTGCACGTACGCACACTGGGCACAGGCTCCTCAGGGTCCTCTTCTGCTGCCAGCCTCCACCATATCCGAAGGCCGCACTCCACTCCCTGATGGTCCTGGCCCCATCCCTGCATCCTACGCAGGCCCCTCATCCCAGTCCTCGCTCTCCAAGACCTCAGTTGTCCGCACCTGCTGCCGGCGAACCACAACGCCGAGTAAGGGTCCTCACTGCTTCCTCTCTGCTCCTCAGGGAGGATGTGCAGCCTCAATGTGGACGAGTGTGAAAGCAACCCTTGCCACAACGGGGGCACCTGCAAGGATGGCATCAACGGATTCACGTGTCTCTGCCCGGAAGGCTTCCACGACTCCATGTGCCTCTCGGAAGTGAATGAGTGCAGCAGCAACCCTTGCGTCCACGGGAGATGCCATGACGGGCTGAACGGGTGAGCGGCGGGCAAGGCTGCGCCAGGGCAGGAGGGGTACTATGGGAAACCTGAGTGAGCGCTGTACTGGCAGGGGGGGGGAGAGAGAGAGAGAGAGGGAGGCGGAGCCTGGGGTGTCACTCAGCCCTCAGATGGAGAGTCAACAGCCCCCAGGTCTGGAGGTGGCTGGTGAGGAAGAGGAGGAACAGCTGGTTCCAGTGCCTGATGCACGGATATGCAGAAGACAGAGGAGAGGAGAGCAGTGGAAATCTATGGGCCGGTCCTTGGGATGGAAGAGCCACTGCTGCTAGCGAGGGCCTATCTTACCTCTGGGGATAAAAGGCAGGGGGCGGAGATGAATAGATGTGGCAGACAATTATTCATCTCACTGCCAGACAGACTTGTTAGCTTGAGTTGAGAGGCAGAGAGAGAGAGAGACCCTAACCCTAACCAATAACGCCCAATCATGTTAGGGGTTGGCCCTTCCAAGAGCTGTTTTTGTTCTTCCAGAAACTATTTTAGATTCACTAAACCATCCTAGAGACGATGTGTTTTTAAGGTTGGTTGTTCAATGCCCTGTAGAGGTGTTTGAGTGGCATCAAGGATTTTTTTTTTTTTTAAAGAAAACCAGCCCAATCTAATCACTTTGTGCTTTGTCATTTTCTCTCTCCTGGAATCAAAGCTACAAGTGCAATTGCGACGCAGGCTGGAGTGGGACAAACTGTGACATCAATAACAACGAATGCGAGTCCAACCCTTGTGCGAACGGTGGAACCTGCAAGGATATGACCAGCAGTTACATTTGCACCTGCCAGGAGGGATTCAGTGGTAAGAACCTGGGCTTCACCCACAGTTTCGCCCCTCTGAAAGTCATGGCAAATTACTCTTCTTTTACACATTGATCTTTAGCTTAGACTAGGGGTCCCCAAACTTGGCGACTTTAAGACTGGTGGACTTCAACTCCCAGAATTCTCCATTCAACCATGCCTGTTGTTGTTGTTTTTCTTTTTCTCCTACTCCCTAGAGTGGAGAGGTTGCAGAGGAAGGGATTACAAGAGAGTAAGGAAGTCTAGTGAAGCTGGATGGAGAATTATGGGAGTTGAAGTCCACAAGTCTTAAAGTGGCCAAGTTTGGAGACCTCTGGCTTAGACTAAGTACTCAAGGAAAGGAAGCCAAACTATTATAAATAGATACTATAAACCCTTGACTATAAAGTGGTACCTCGGTCTATAAACCAGACGAATGACCCATTGGGATCCCCATATCAAAACACCTTGCCTTATGTGCAGCCAGAATTTGAAAATAACATTTAACACAGCGCAATGGTACTGAAGCAAAATGGTTTGGTTGAGATCGGCATGTGATTGGGGTAGATTGCAGGGGTGGCACCGAAATATAATTTTATCATATTTCATCTATATCTTTAATTATTGCATCTTATTCCAATTCCATTTTAGACTGTATTTTATTCTAATTTCATTTTAAATGATATTTTATTCCAGTTTCGTTTTAAATTGTATTCTATTCCAATTCCATTTCAAATTGCTTTTATCAAATTTAAGTCATAGTTTGTCCCTGGAACTCTGCATTTTGATACGGCCCAAGGGCTAATCAATAAATAAAGATTGAGCTATAAATAAATACTATAAACCTTTGACTAAAATGGAAGGGCTTAGTTAAATATCTGTTCAAGAAAGGGTTGACAATCCACATTTGGGGAGGTAGGCCTCCAAAGGGCTTGATCTCAATCTGACCCCACCGGGTTTTGGGGGCAGCCATCAGAAGATCTAGCCCCACATTTCTCAACCTTGATAATTTTAAGATGTGTGGAATTCAACTCTCAACTTGGTTGAGGGAATTCTGGGAGTCGAAAGCTTTAAAAGTCACAGAGGTTGAAAAACATCAGTCTAGCCTAAAAGTCTGTATAGAGATTTCTCAGTTATCCAGGTCATGGTTATCCCAAAGGTGCTTTTTTCCCAAGATGCAACTGGACTTCCTTGTTTTTTTTTTTTTTTTACGATGTTTCGCTTCTCATCCAAGAAGCTTCTTCAGCTCTGACAGGGGCCTCATTCCCCACCATTCAGTCGGAGCTGAAGAAGCTCCTTGGATGAGAAGCGAAACCCCTTCAAAAGAAAAAAACAAGTCCAGTTGCCTCCTGAAAAAAAAAAGCACATTTGGGACATCGGTCTAGCCCGCTGTGTCAACTCATAAAATATTTCTATGGTCTTTTTAGAGTTGGCAATAGAAAGGGAGAGGGGAGCAGTGCGGCAGCTTGCAAACTGAAAGTGCATTCCATAAATGCTTTCAAAGATAGTAACTAGGTGACTGAAGTTTCTGCTGCACAAAATTCTAACTGGAGAGCCTGATTGATGACTCTTGGCGATGGATGTGTCCCATTGGAGAATATGAATTATGAATACACCCAGAGGGGGGAAAACTAGGGTCAAGGGTGACAATGAATTATGTGCCTCGGAGTCGGCTACACCCAGGCAGTGCCAGCATGTTAACTTCCAATAAATCCTTTCGAAGTTTTGGAAGTTTGGCTCGAGACTCGTGATTTAAATGGGGGTAACTGCTAGAATCCTGACACACTGCTGTTCCAGGTTGGGGGAAGAACGCTTGGGTGGCTTAGGGGGTCCCCCAAACATATCCCCCAGAAATAGGTGGGACCCTGCTGACCTCCTTCTTTCTCCCAGGACACAACTGCCAGTTCAACATCAACGAATGTGCCTCCAACCCTTGCCTGAACCAGGGGACCTGCATTGACGATGTGGCTCGCTACCAGTGCAACTGCCTCCCACCCTATACAGGTCAGAGAGCCAGTTCTTGGATGGGGGGGGGGGGGCTTCAGTGAGAGAGAAATGTGGCCGTGTGTGTGTGTGTGTGTGTGTGTTTGTGTATGTCCCAGAATAGCTGAGGTGCATAAGTGGGAACAGAAGAACAAACCACACTCACTTCTGGCGTTTCTGCGCCATGAAGGGTATTGACCTTCACGCCAGCCGGTTTGGTGGCCTCGGTCTCTGGCCACCAAACGTTGCTGTCATTGATCCAAAGAATAGATCTGCTCTGGGTGGGTGGATCTCTGCGGAAAAAGAGGCGGGGGTGGGAATCCATCTAATTCCCTGAGGAGTCCTGAAACCCTCAGGGCAGTTGCTGAATTGCCTTTCCCAAATATAGGTAGTCCTTGACTTACAACAGGCTGTTAGTGACCGTTCCACAAACTTTGCAGCTTTGTGGGGCTTAGCTGGGGTGGAGCGGGGTGGGGGAGAGGGGAACCAGGCTGCACAAGCATCGAGCTGGCACACCTATGCACACATGTGCACAGCTCAATCTACGCGAGCGTCGGGCTGGCATGCATGCACGTGCAACTCGACTTGCTCAAATTGAGCTGCATGCATGTGCTCGCACAAACACACACACACACACACACACACACACACAGGCCCACTGGTTGAGCTATGTGTGTGTGTGTGTGTGTGTGCTGGCCCACCACTCGTGCAGCCCGGTTCCTCATTGTCCTGGCAGTGAGCCGCAGTCTGGGTGTTGGGGACCCCTGACTTATGACCGTTTCCCACACTTGTGACTGTTGCAGCCACCCTCCCAGGGTCCCGTGATCAAAATTCAAGATGCTTGGCAAAGCTGACTCCTGTTTATTTTTACTTTTTTTTTTAAAAAGAACCTTTTATTTTGACATAGACAAACACAAACCATTAAATAAAGCCATCTTCCCATAGACAGTGCGTCGGTTTGTCCATATCTCTTGTGCACAATATCTCAACAGTCTTTCCCTCCTAAATTTAAATTAAAATTCGTAGGATGCAAATCAGCTATCCACCTCATATCATATCACTATCAAACCATTATTAGACTTTGACTGTAAGTTCACGTCACCCTTTTCGAGCAAATCTCCACTTTTACAATGCTGACTCCTATTTATGACGCTGGCGGCGTCCCAGGGTCACGCAGCTTTCCAGAAACAAAGCCAATGGGGAAAGCCAAATTCGCATAACGACCATGTTATTAACTTCACAAGCCGCGGGGATTCACTTAAGGAACTGTTAGCACGAAAGGTCGTAAAATGGGGGGGGGGGGAAACCCCTCGCTTCAGAAATGTCTCACACAGCAGTGGAAATGTTGGTGCTCGATTGTGGTCGTAAGTCAAGGACTAGCTATCTGATCTCCCCCCACCCCACCCCTCCGCCTCTCCCCCCCTTCTTCCCTGATAAGATTCAAGAGGCGCCTCTGTTGTTTTCCTGCCTCCAAATGTTAGGACAGAAACTCACAGGACGAGATTTGCTTCTTCCCCTAAGTTTTCGTCCACACCTTTTCTCCGCTGCCCCACCTCAGATGTTTCCCTCATGCCAACATCTGGACCGGGGGAGGGAGAGGGGGTTGGCCTAGATGACCTACAAGGCCCCTTCCAACTCTTGTGTATTCTGTTATTTATCTCCTGCCCCCAATTGTGGCCCTTTTTGTGTTTTTGCAAACTTTGCCCGTTGGCCCATCCTCCCTTTCGGAACGGAGGCCCCTTGCATCACCGCGCGCGCAGGAGGGCTGCTCGTT